CCTGCCACTATACCCGGCTAGTTTTTGGTTGCACGGTCATTGTTGTTTGGCAGGCCTGGGCTGGATTCAAACTCGCCAGTTCTGGTATATGTGGCTGGCGCCTTAGTTGCTTGAGCCACAGGCACGGAGCCAAAACTCAGCATTTTTTAAGAACATGTGTTGGCTTGACGCCTGTAACTCAAGTGGCTAAGGCACCAGCCACATACACTAGAACTGGCGGGTTCGAATCTAGCCTGGGCCTGCCAAACGACGACAACTACAACCAAAAAATAACATGGCGTTGTGTGTACTTGAGAGGCTGAGGCAAGAGACTCGCTTAAGCCCAGGAGTTGGAGGTTGCTGTGAGCTGTGATGCCACAGCACTCTACCCAACGCGACAGCTTGAGGCTCTGTCTCAAAAAAAAAAAAGAAATTCAATTTACATAACGTTGGGCACCAGAGCTCAGTGGTTAGGGCGTTGGTCACATGCTCCAGGGCTGGAGGGTTTGATCCCCACCTGGGCCTGCTAAGAAAAAATAAAATAGTAAAATAGCCAGGCGTTGTGGCAGGTGCCTATCATCCCACTTACTTGGGAGGCTGAGGCAAGAGAATCACTTGAGCCCAAGAGTTTGAGGTTGCTATAAGCTATGATGCCAAGGCACTCTACCGAGAGTGACAAAGTAAGGCTCTGTCTCAATAAAAGAAAAAAAAAAGATAAAAAAATGAACAGTCAAAGTACAAATAATAACTGGAGAATCTCCACTATGTCTCAACACTATTTTGTATTGCAATTATTGGCTTGATGCCTTTTAAAAGATCACTTTTAAACACATAGATCATTTATGCTGGGCATGGTTACTTACAGTCTCCAGGCTCTTTAAAATGCTTTTATATCTCAAACATGAAAAATTGTTTAAATTGGGGGATAGTTAAAAGATAGTAACTGGAGACCCAATTAAAGTAACTAAAAGGAATCATACACACAATTCAGTTTCTAGACTCCTGTACCAGATTTAATTTCACAGACAACTGAGGAGGCCACACCCATCCATAGGAAGTCTTCCTAATTCCTGCCTCTGGGCAAGCAAAGTTAACCCCTCCTCTGATTATATTTTTTGTGCACCCAAATAAGACTTAACCAAAACTTAACCGTACCTAGTTAACCAAGACTTCCCTATTCCCTAACTTATTTAAAAAAGAAAAATGACAAAATGCTTAGATTATGCTCTGTCAAAATATAAAACACTCACAGATGGCCCACTGCAGCTGTGGGAGAAGCAGCTGTCACCACCGCCCACCTGTCACTTTCATAGCTGCCGTAGGGGGCGATAAGGGGTAGGGGGCTCAAGAGCGCAAAGCCTGTAGCCCCT